GAGAGAGAGAGAGAGAGAGAGAGAGACAGGAGAGAGAGAGAGAGAGAGAGAGAGAGAGAGAGAGAGAGAGAGAGAGAAGAAGAAGAAAAAAACAAAAAAAATACTTTTTTCCACCAAACCACACTTGTACATTTGCAACATTGTCCATTTTGCGTCCAAAATAATGAAGTTTTTTCAGTGCATCAGCAGCAATTTCAATTGCAATCGTTGTCAAAGCTAATCCAATGGCACAATAAATAAGAGTTATTGCCTAACAAATTAATAGATTTTTTTTTATTTACATTCTATGTTATTTACCAAATATGTTTCACTCTGTGGTACTAAGTCACCCAATCCAATTGTTGTTAATGTTACAAAATTGAAATAGATTGCCTAAATGATAAGTATATATGTTTGGTTTTAGAACAGTTTAAATATTATAAATAGAATGTTTCTTCATCTTCTTCTATTAATGTTTCAGAATGACTTTTCTCACGCGCACGAATTATACCCTCAGGGCTCATTTGATGTGGTCAGCTAATGCTTCAATAAGGTCAATCAATATGTACAAACCTCGAAAAAGTCCATATTGGGCTCATAAGCTGCTATTACGATTGAACCAACAACAATATAGATAACGAATGATAAAAATAATATTAATCCATCTGTTGTGGCATCGTCTGGCTCTTCAGATGCTGCTTCTGATTCGCCATCTTCAGAATCATCATCCATTATCTTTAACAGATAATTTTTGAGAACTATTTGATGAATGTGGTTGAATAACCTTATTTGGCTGCTTTGATTCTTTTTCCATCAACCGTTGTTTCTCTTTTGATGTGTACCTTCGATGACAACACTTTCGACCAAATCGTCTAATTATACATGTAATCATACAACAAACTTACAAAGAGCTTACCGAAGACAATTCACGAAAGGTTTTGTCCAAGTTTTAAGAACAGTCGCCAAAAATTTACCCAAGTTTGCTAATGCTAACATAGTAAATGGAACTCCTACTAATCCATATAATATTACGAATAGTCGGCCATGAAATGTTCTTGGAGCCACATTACCATAACCTTAACCTTAGCGTTTAGAGATAGAGGATAAGACACCAACCAATAGTGGTAATAACGGTAAAGCAGAACAAAACAGAGTCCATGATAGACCAGTATTCAAGCTCTTCTGGATGAGAAGAGCTTTCATCACCCTCATCTACTTTGAGATAATCTGGAAAAAAAACTCGGAAGTCATGAGAAGCTTGGTGAAAATGTGAAAACCGTTTTTTCTCTGCTTAATCCGTTCAATAATTTTTTTGAGATCATGTTCATAGCAGTTATCAACGATATCCAAATATGGACCATCTTCTATCTAGAATATTTTTTCTCTGTTTTTTTTGTTGTTCAGAATGTTCCAAAGTTACATTTGAGCAATTATGAGACTTGTTCAGCTTCTCTATAGCTGTGAGAATGCATCTTCGTGTTCGGTTGGCTGAAAATGAAAAAAATTAGGAATGAGGAAACGGAAAAAAAGAAATAAAAACCTGAGAATCGTCGAAGTTCATGCTGAGGCTGATGTTCTCTCTTCAATCGAGACAAGGCTGCTTCCTGTAACGAGGTCGTTAATAAGCATATGTAATCTTGTTTCCATCATTGAAAAATGAGAGAATGTGTTTTCACGTAAGTCTCCCGTGAGATCAGAAGTCACAAAATCATTTGTGAGCATCATAAGACGGTTGTTTATGATATAATAATGAATTAATGTCTTTTTGTTTTTTTTTCTTCCAGCAACGGAAATCAATTGGATTGCAAATGAAATAGTCACTTGGGATTGGTCATAACATCTGATGAGCACACATCCTAATTTGGAAATTACTGAAGAGAGGGACATTGTAAATTCTTTTTTCCATATCTTTCTCTCGAATCAAATAACTAATGCTATTTGTCCATAATAGGGGATAAGCTCTTTGTTTTATAAACTATGCAAATATTTCATGGAGGCGTTCCAGTAAGATTTGGCGTCAAAAGGGATTATTGAAGTTCAGAGGTCTTGTTTCCTTTTCATTGGCGATTCATATCCCCTGGAGATATGAGAAATAAGAGGTACCACAATATGCAAATATTTTACAGCCAAACCGGAGCAACATGAAACGGAAACCGAAATGAGACGTAATAATGTCAAGTTGACTAACAAATCTATTATTTTTTTTCTGAACATTAACAGCCTACATGTTAAAGATTTTTTGACGAACATCCAGACACTCTCCCACTCATTCATTCACTCACTCAGCTCACACAGAGAACTTTGCAAGTGATGAGCAATTGCATACGATGGCACAAGACGGATTTCCTTCGTAGAGCTGTTCCAAATCATAGAAATGTAGAAATTTCCTTATTGCGTCTCAAACTCAAATCGTGTTAGAGCATTTTTATGAAAGTCATGCACCATTAGAGAACAAACAGATAAAAGTGTAACAAAGATTTCGTTCTTTTTGGAATCAAAAAAAGAAGGATTGAAGAACAGATTGAAATATACGGACGGTGGTTATCCAATGACTTGTCTAACATTCGTCATCGGAAATTTGTTCGCTAAGAAATAGATAAAGTGCATCTCGAGGCATGTCAGACAGATTCTTTTTTGGCATTAAAGCGGCCAACAAAAAACATGGCAAAGTCATTCATCAATTGCAAAAGTAAAAAACAACAACTTATACCTGAACTTTTGGTGAAGCTTCAATCTCTCTGATAGCAAAAGCGCCGGCTACAACATAGATGGCCACAGCCACCACCATGGCTAAATGAAGAGCATATGGAGCAAGCTGAAATGTAATACATTCATATTTCATGGTCTTTCATCAGTTTTTCTTTGTTCTGTAGTAATTTGAATGATGATAGTCACTTCTTAAGGAAACATAGATACCAAAAAAAAGCTGCAAGTTACAGGAAATATTGTCTCTTGACATATTCAAATATGAGTGAGTTTTCATTTGAATATTGGACATTCGTTTTCGTCAGTTAATGAGAACGGATAAGCTTCGATAGCTTCCAAAAGATCCCAAAGGAGATATTTGAAGTTCTTCTTCATCACTTACTTTCCACAAAATTTTTCAAAAGCAAAAAAAAGTCAGAAAAATCTGATATATTCGCAACACGAATGTGCATTAGAAATATCAAAAAAGAAGAAAAGGCGATAGATGAGAAGAAGATGAAGTAGATGACGAAGAAGACGGGGGGAGAAAGAAAAAAAAATCTTTCAATTTGATAATTAAGTTGTTGTGTTGTATGTGTATTGGATAAGAGAGTCGAAGGACACATACACGAGAATTTGAGTACAAGAAATTCATTTTTTTTTTTCCATTTCTCAAAGTTTTTCATTTTTTTCAGTTTTGAGGGCTTTTAATAAGTTGAACTTGCGGTTCTATTAGTACTTACTTACCACCATGGCTTATGACTCTCACCCAAACGACTAAAGACTACTTTTCCTCTTTTTTTTTCGAAAATAAGAAGAAAAGATGAGCAATTTTGCTGGATTTTCATTTTTTTTTTCAAACAATAAAAGAGAGATTGAGAGGGAATTGAGATAATCATAGAGAGAAAGAGAGAGAGGAAGAGAGAGAGAATATGCAGGATAAACTTCAAATGACAAACAGAGTTTGAATCGTCTCCAATTTCGGAATTATTTCAATAATGATGTCCGTTTCAATCTATTCAGTCAACTGATTATGTTCAAATATTTCTTCAAAATGGAAATGACTCTTGACTTTCTTGATAAATCGAAAGATTTACTTTACATCCGATGCCATTCTTCATGAAGTACACGTCATTTGTCTCATGCAAGCCTTTCACGCACAATACTCTTTATGCAAATTACACGTGTAAGAACTGATGACTGCGATAGATAGCCAATTGGATGTTAATTGTGAACAAAAGCATTTTTCATGTTGTTCTTTCTTTCATTTTAAACAGAACGAACGGTTGCTAATTAAATTTATTCTATTTTCCAAATGTTCGTCTCTCTAAGAAATTGTGTGATTTCAGGAAACTCACATTCACAAAATTCGGCATTTTCCCCTTGAGACCGTTTGATGAGTCCCCGAGAACCGAAACGAAATATGTGTTCAGGCTATTGGAATCTGGTCACTTTATGGTAGTTGAACGGCCTTTTATTTTATTAGTTTGTAAGCATTTTTCTATTTGTTTCAATGAGCAATGTATTTTGAGCTAAAACAAGTGTCGATAGAAGGGATGAATGAAGCTGGGGAAGAACACTTATATGGCAAAAGGTGAAGAAGGTTGTGATGTACGTCATGCTTTCCTCTTAGGGAATATCTTTCTTTTTTCACATTGTTTTTGTTGAAAATAAAATAATTCATCTCGAAGATATTGTTAAGGGCCAAGACATGCAATTGTTTTTAAGGAGGAAGAAGCTTAGTTGGAGATGGAAAAGTAGAAAGAACTTTAAAAGAAAATATGTCACATACCTTAGCCAAATCTATTTTTTGCTTTTTAAGTGATTGCGTTTGACGTGCATGGAAAACCATTATGAATATGCGTTAAGAATATTAGTATAATGAGCTTTTACAGAAGAAGTTTACAGAGTATGAGATGATATTGGAAAAGAATTGAGGAAGACAAAGCTTCTCCTGGTCTTGACGCTCCGCCTCCATTTGAGGACTTTCCTTGACATCTCCACTGTTTCCCTTCTATTTTAAAGATCTGGAAAGTCTTTCAAGACTACTCAAAGTGAATAAGGAAGAGAGAAAAAGAGAGGTCAGAGAGAGAATAGGGTGGAGTCAGAAAAGATGCTACTAGTTTATGGGAAGAGAGAGAGAGAGAGAGAGTGATTGGCTTGTAAAAGCGAATATTCGAGTAAGATCTCTGCTCCTTTTGAGTTTTGATGATGAAAGAGGAGATAGAGAGGAGTAAGTTTGAATATCAATAAACATTATATTGAAACTTTGCTTTAGTTATACAGTTCAAAAATGAAGAGATAGAGATAGAAAAAGCTTTTTCCTAGAGAGAGAAAGTCAAAGAGAGTATTAGAAGTTGATTTCCGGAGAAGTGGCGAGAGATAGAGAGATATTTAGCATATACAGAGATATAGGAAAATAAAGAGAGATCTTAAAAGAAATCTTCAGAGAGATAGAGAGGGAGAGAGGAAGGGAAAAAAAAGATTAAGGAGGTTCGAGCTATGAGACAAGCCCAGCTCATGATCTCATTTTTCAGTTGAAGCATTAAGGTCATAGCTCTGAAGTAGATAGACAAAGCACAGAGAGGGAGACAGTATGGTCTCGGATTTCATAAAATTTTCATATGTGCATATCGAAATTCATTAGAAGACAGAGTCAAGTAGGAAAGAAGGTGAGGGATATAGTACTGATCACAATGTACTTTAATAATAAAAATAAAAAAAAATAAATGAACTACCTTATATAGCTGTGATGATCGCAACATTGAAACTGAATTGTCAGAATAGTTAAACAAAATGAGACAAAAATGGGAAATAAAACGGATTGTAATTGAGTTGAGAAAGGAGAAGAGGGAGAAGAGACAGATTTTAATAAGGAAAATTAACAATTTAGATAAATGAAACTAACCTCTTTAAGCTTTTTTGATGGATGATTCATTGAGCTTTGAAATGCTTTCAAATATTATGAAGAAGATGATGGCAAGTTCTGTCTTCGTTCTCTTCAGCTTTATTAAGAATGAAAAGACAAGACACAGACAGACTAAAATGGAAATAAATGAGATGAAAAACGAAAAATAAATGACATGAGAACTACAGAATATTTTATAAAAAAATGAATAAAAAATTGTTTTTTTTTTGGCTTGATCATTAGAGGGAGTTGAAAAATCAATCCTCACCCACTCTCTCTATCTCTCTTTCTCTCTCTCTCTGTCCTTCTCTTCCTCTTGCAACCATCTTTCGACACATTCTTGAGAGAGAGAGAGAGAAATTGAAGGTTTCTCTCCTTTTTTTTCTCCTGATTTCTCTTATGCTCTCTAATAGTTTTCTCTCTCTTTTTCTCTTCTTCTCTTCATGCTTCTACCTTGATGTTTCAATTATTTTGCTCATCCGAATCCCTCTATATATCACTCTCTTCCCAATTCGAAAAAATCTGGTCTGTCTAGGAATCACCTAAAGTTCAATATGAAAGAGCAAAAGAATTTGTGAAATGAAATATATTTGATCTCCAGAATATTGCTGGAGATGTATGATCACGCAAAGCTGTTGAAATCAAGAAAAATTGAGTTTTCAAATATACATGGTTTCTTTGCATTCTTTTTTTAGGAACAAGATGGAAAAGCAGATGAGAACAGGCAAAAAGAGAAATTCAAAATGGCAATCTGAAAATTCATTTGACTGCAGTAGTCATCGAAGCTTCTGCTTCATGTTATTTCTACCGAAAATACTGTCAATAAATGAAAAACTGGAGGTCATTCAAAGGACTGACAAGAGAGAGAGTCATTCACGCAATAATCTAATTGTAAGCTACAATAATAAAAATGAAAATGTTTATAGCAATTATATAAGGCAAAAGCTCAAAAATCCAAATATGGCTGTGTTGGTAAGATATTTGGAGATGTTTCAACGGGGCGATTCATAGATGAAGACGAAGATCGTTGATTTACACATTCAGACACATACACACACTAACACAGACACACACACATACACATGTAAAAAGAAAATTAAACATTTGAAATGAACATACAGATTTGCTCATTAATCATTATCTGCTAACAACAGAAATATTAAAAAGATATTAAAGAAATATTGAGATCTAGCAGGAGAGAGAGAGAATTAGAAAAAGAGAGAGGATATTGAGATTGAAAGAGAGAGAGATTGAAAAAGATTGTGAAGAACAACCGCTCAGCGTTTCCGTTCAAATTAAAATGACTTCACGTGAATTTGCGATAACCACGGACAGTTTGTATCCACGCGTAAGCAGATGCTATGAGAATAATACAAATCCAGTTAAAACAGAAAAAGCTTTCGAATGTTTTAAATGTAAGGTAGTAGGAGGAGCTTGAAGTGAATGAAGAGATGTTGAAAAAGTATGAAGCAAGCAATAGCCAAGAGTGAAAAGAGGAAGAATCGAAAGAGAAGTAAACATTTAATTTAATAGGAAAAAATAAAGAAATGGATATGTTAATGTGGATGGTTTGAGGCGTTCTTGAATCAGAGCGCGTGGAGCGGAAATATTTGGACGGAAAATGACTAAAGAAGCTTCTCTCACTTTCCTTGAGAAGTTTGTACAGAGGGTAAGAGAGTTAAAGAGATTGTGCTTTTGATGACCAAATGCAGAAGAACAAAACAAGTGAAAAAAAAATCGAAAAGTAGGTAACTGAGGATATTCATAGAATTATGAGTAAACAGTAGCTTTTCCCAAAAAGATCATTTTCAGAGCTTGCTTATGTGAAGATGTGCTTTTTGTCTTTTGACCTTCTCCTTCTCTTTTTATTTCTTTTTTCTTTTGATTTCTCTCTAACTCTCTTGCATATCTCTTTATAAGAATATTTCTGTCCGTTAGGAAGTGATTTATCAGCTTCCAATCACTCTGTGGCCAGTTTACAGCCATTCGTTGTATAAACAACATACCTCCTGAGATAACATATGGCTAAGCCACTTGTGCACTTTTTGAGAAAAGAACGAAAAAAGAGAGGAAGGAAAAGCCTTTGTGAGACATTCATTGTCACAGTTTACAGATAAAGCTCAACGTCCGGACAGATCTAATGATCAAGTTAACAAATATCTTTAAACGATAGAAAGTTACAACAAGCAAAGCCATCTGCAAGTCGATTAAACTTTTATTTTTCTATTAGCTGAGGTAAAAATAAACAAATAAAAAAGAAATCCTTTTTCTGATATCTTCTCTTTGTGTGTTTTTTCAAATTTTTATTTTCAAATCAAGACACGAAAAGAGAGAAAGAGATGAACAGAAAAAAAAACATTTTCGAATGAAAATTTATTTTGAAGCTTCTTCTTACAAGCTCTTACGCTGACATTGTCAATTGAAACATCTGGCATTGAATCGGGTGTGAAATAAATAATAAAAAGGAACTTTAATAAACTAAAATGAAAAAAAAACAAAATATTCGAAATGAAAATGATTGGGGAAAAAAGTTTTTTTTCGTTTAATGACTTTTGGGTAAATATGGGTGTGTGTGTGTGTGAGTATGAGTGTATGTGTGTGCTGTTGGCAGTTTGGATCTTATGCCTTAACTGTGTTGTTGTTTTCTTTTTTCGAAACTGATAAAGAGAAGCTGAAAGAGGAAGAAACAGATTGAATAAAGCCGACGATGTTATTGAAGCTTAAGAAAAGAAGTTAAAAATTGAAAATGAAATAGAAAGAGATTCATATTCTTAGGCAATTTTCGCACAAAGATCGCATTACAATAGAATGAACATCAATATTGTAAGGATTTTTTAGTAATTTAATCTATTTATTCTTATTTATACATATATAGTTAACATTCACAACTTCTTTATATTATTATGACTTCTTATTGTTTAAACGCGGAAATTGTGATTGTTTCCTTCGTAATCCGGTTGATGTTTTGTTGTTTGCACTTTGAACTACATAATTAACCTGCAATACAATCAATCAATAACTTATATGCTAATTTCCTGATCGAGTATGTAAAGATCGGCTTGGTTAGTCATTTTTCAATTGCGTCTACTGCGGCGCAAGGGACGGTTGCGTTCTGCTGTGCGCACATACTGCGCAGTCAAAAAATTATCCTAATGGGATAATTTGAATAGGAGTAATGAAGCTTACTGTTGGCAAATGAAATGATGCTTCTTCACATTTTACATTAATTGGCTGAGGTTGAATTCGTTTACCGATTAAACGCAAATGAATGAATCTGTTGGACCACAAATTAGCTTCAGCTGTTAGTAATTCATCTGAAAATATGTAAATGAGTATCAATGTCTTACTAACAAAAGGATTGCGCATAGCAAAGACATTACTCACCATCCATAGGTGTTCCTTCATATAAGCAAGCATCTAATTGGCTCAAAAAGCTTAAACCATCAGTGCGTGGGCTTAAAACATCTGAATATATGGATTCACTCCATCGTGAAACCATTTGAGAAAAATGATGGTGTCGAATGAAAAGCTCAAAGAATCAATATGAGTGTATGGTTTCCATAGCAACGTTTAGGTTGACTATGTCAAAGAAGACAATGACAAAGAAATTGAGAGAGATGACACAAAAAAAAATGTTTTATTTGAAATATATGTACAAACATAAATAGTATTAATAATAATAATATAAATTATTATTAATCATAAGATCAATTTCACGAGGAACGTTGATTGGAATTCTCAAGAAGCGATATGAATATTGAAAGAAGTGTTTGAGAATAGTTTCCTCCCGTCATTTAAGCTTCACAGGGTGTTGTAGCGGTACTGGTTGTTTGTGTAGCACACGTATCTCCATTCGTTGATACAAGATTTGAAACCAATAATTCCTCTTTTGGAGACGATGGAGGAACTTGATCCCATACTTGAACATCGGCTTTAAACAGATTTTTGTTAAATTAATGTCTCGTCATCTTTGAGCTTACCAGAGCCACACAGTTGGAAGAATGCTCCACTAATTATGCAAATTACAAAAATTGTAAGAAAAACAATTCTCCATTCTTCTAATGTTCCCTGGAAATAGGATAAATATAGAATAAATCTCTAATACACGGAAAGAAGAATGTTGAAAGCTGATTAATGCCGTACATGCTTGGTGACAGCTCCAATTTGATATGGTGCCCATGAAGCGGCTATCTGAGCCCATATCCGACTAAATGCTGCAATTGCGGCTGTTTGTGATGGAGCTATAGTAATAACACTGGAAGATTATGTTTAAGCTGCTAACTATATGATATATTATAAACCTTGTACTATATCCAGGAATATAACCACTAACGAATGACATGGAAATACATATTAGTATAACAGCCATCAAACGTTGTTCACAATGGCAAAATGACAAAAACAAAAAGCAAAATCCAATACCAAATGATGCTTAAACATACTTCCTTATATGATATGGCAACAAGTAAGCTTACCACTTGAATTACATATTTTAGTGATGTTAGTGTACGAAAGCCAGTCACGCTTCTTTGACTCATCCGCGAAACCGGCATAAAGAATTTTTGAAAAAAATTGAAAAATGAACGGGAGGGCCGATAGAACACCATTCTGTAAGCTTTTGATAGAGGGAATTTCAATTGGCTGGCAGAAGATTGATAAGGCTAGAAACTTACACTTGTTAAGCTCATATTCAGAACAGTCTTGTAGTATAGGGGTAGATATGTAACTGTTCCAACTGTTATGAAGTTATGAGCAAATGAGCTAGCTGCTATTGACCAGACAACTGGAGATGATAACAAACACTTCCAATCAGCTCTCTGAACAATAGAATTGTATAGTTATCATAGTCAATAAATTGCTTACTTGTACTCGTTGTTTTCTATTTCCCGTATTTGTTATTACTTGGACTTCTTCATCTGTTATTCCTCTTGCCTTTGATGGTATATCTTCGACGTAGATTTCCCATAAAATGCATAGTAAGACGCCCATGAAGCCTTGAAATAAATATTTTTCAGTTTAATTATATCTTTGATTATAAAAATAAATGAACATCAATACTAACCGTAAACATGGAAAGCCATTGGCCAACCACCTCCAAACGGCAATTGACACAACTCCGCAGTGGCAAACATGGCTATGATAACGGATAACTGAAATTGGTGTTTAATCATTGCTAGTATATCAGTTGACCAGCTTTCATCCTGATATTCATAGATTATTAGCTTGTTTACCTGATTTCCGGTTGTAGCTATAGCTAACGCTGTACTCTTTTCTGTTGGCGGAAACCATACTCCGACTAAAACACTCATACACGGATATAATAAACCCTGAAATATACATTATGATCCCGTTATACTCTATGCAGATATCATACTTGTCCAAATCCCATTATCAATCGAACTACAATGACAGGAATAGTACCGAATTGCGTTGAAACAGTCGGAGTAATGAATGTACCAAGAACATTCACAACAGCACCATAAAGGACAAGTCGTTTTGGTCCAAAGATTCGGTTCAATTTCTTCAAGCATCATATTGAAGTTCAAGTTTGAACACAACGAATACTCACCTCAGCTACAAGACAAGCAAAGAGACCTCCAGCATAGAAAGAAGCAAAAATTACGGCCCTCTCCTGCGACGACCATTCTATAGTTCCATTCTGCAAAGATCAAACTCGGAAACGTTTTTGTTTCAATGAATGGACAACTGATCCACGTCGTTCATTTTTATAAAAATAGCATAGCGGAAATCAGATTGAACTCATGATTATGCTAAATCACTTAACTTCCGCATCATGTTGTCGTTATAGATTTTATATCTTCAACTAAGATCTATCACAAATCATTCAAAACTTACATAAACGATTTTCGAATCATGAACACCCATTCGAAGTTGTGGACAAGAATCATCGACAGTCAGGTTTCGAGAAGAAGAACCTTCAGCGAGAGCATCTTCACTCAGCATGCAAACCATAGCCTTCAAATATAAGATTATTTGATGATATAATAAAATATTAGTAAATACCATATTAAGATTGCTTCTCATAAGACCTTCGATGGTTAGAGCTAAGGCTATACAGATAGAAACACGAAGACGAACACTTCCTGTCGACCATAGTGAGGTCGTCATTCAGAGTATTTAACTCTAAAAATATTTGAAAAAAATAATATTATCTATTCGTTTCATGAAGAAGGTGAAAGAACATAGAAGACTCCAACTCTAGCCACAACCTCAATTATCGAAATGATTATATATACTTAATCATGTAATTTATAATTTATAGTTAGAGTACTGTATGGAATATTTATATCTTCATTAACAGCAGTGTCAAATGATAGGCTTGAAGTAATGCAAGATGGCATTTCTGCTTTATACAAAAGCGAGAAAAAGAGGAAATGATGATGAGAGAAAGAGAGGATGGCTGAGAGAAAATTTTTTTCGTTTCAGAAATCAGTAGAGGAGCAAGAAGCTTAATAGCAAATGAGAGTTTGAACTAGTCGCAACACAGCTTTTTCGAGGTGAACATTCAGATTTTCGTGAACTTTGATGGCTTCCTATTAGAGAGAAGCGGTTGAAGAAGCCATTTTTGTATAAAAATGATTTCATAACTTTATAGAAATAGAAGAAAAGAAGCGTTAAGTGATAACGAAAGATTCCATAAAATATAAAACAAAACAGGATTGAAATCAACTGTTTTCAAAAACCTTCCTTAAGACATCAAAGCTCATCGATTTTGAACACAAAAAATGTTGAAAGAAATGAAAAATTTACGGGCAGAAAACTAATTTTTAACGGAAATGTTCGATTTTCGAAGAGTCACACGTCATATACTGACTGATCTCGAACTCTTTTCCATTTCGATAATTTGGAACAGGAAGTTTCCTGTAACATGCAGGGTTCAGAGGCTACTTACTTCTGTTGTCACATACACATTCTCTCTCTCTCTCTCTCTCTCTCTCTCTCTCTCTCTGCTATCTATTTCGTTTTCACTCTTTTTGCATCTCTCTCTCCCTCTCTCTTCGTTTTTCTCTTTATTACTTTTTATGCAGAATAATTAAAAATGCACGCAATCCAAGGCTTATCTCAACTGTATGATTTCATTGCAAAATCCTTTTTTTTACGTTCTTGCTGCTCATATGGAATGTTTTATATAAGAGAGATCTTCAATTTTCATAAACATTTTATCAGATTTTCTGAAAATGTCCTTAAGATTTCAAGTTACAAGTACATGATAAATGATATAAAGTACCGAAAGATCGAAGTAATATGTCCTTTTGAAGAAAAAATAAATGAAAGATGAGAGAAGAGGGCGGTGTGAATATGTGGTATTGGGAGGAGACTGAATAACACAACACAGACAAAGACTAAAAGAGAAGCAGGCAGAGAAAGGTAGAGGGAGAGAGAAAGAGGGAGAGAGGGAGAGAGAGATAAGGAGGTAATATATTAAAAGTTCAAAAATGTTATAAATTGAGAGAAAAAACGGTTCATCATCCCGGAAGTAAAATACAAATCGTTCAAAAGGATAAATCATATTTGATAAAAATTGAAGAAAATTTGAATAATAACGTGTCGTCGTTAGTGGAAAAAGAAATTAAGAGGGAAAATTGCTTTCAAACATAGCACATAGAGTGAAGTAAGGATATAAGTACTTCAAATGAACACACAGTAAATGATGAAACGAAAAAAAAACAATAAGTTTGTACAAAAAATGCTTTGAAAGCCATGTAAGTCTAGCAAATGGTGGTAAGCAGTAAGCAGCGTGAGTGTATTGATGGCTGAGTGAGAACCCGAGGAAAATAAGCGAAACACCATATGAAATGAAGAGGGCGACATAGAAAATGAACAAGTTGAGGCTTAAAGAATATGCAAAACAAAGAGAGTTTTTTAAGAGAGAAAGATGGACACAGAGAAAGAGGAACAGAAAAAAAATAAGAACAGCTGATAGAAAATGAAATAACATTAATATGGGAGAGAAGTGATGGAGAGAAAAAATCATTTATGTTCTGATATTTTTTTTTCTGATTCAACCAAAATATTATAAAGCAGAGAGATGTGTGCCGGAGGCAACAAAAAAAAAGTTATTTGTTTTGATAACGTTCTCTGTACAAATACTAATTCGTTTATTTAAACTTTTGTTTCTCCAGTTATATATTGAAACACAACCGCTCTACACGTCTGATCATAATGCAAATGACATGTGAACGACCGCTCGCATGTATTTGAAATAATTTTAAATGAATACAGTGTACAAATTCACGCGTGTGCATTGTAATTTGAAGTATAATAAATGGCAACGGATTCACTAGTTTGTTGTTTCTCCCCATGGATAGGATCAACGTTTGGATAAGGTTGAAAGCTCGTTGTGTAATCGAGCTCTAGCTTCCGAAGTCACATCCTCGATGTTGTTAATAATACCGTTTAAATAAGAAATATAAGCACAGGCTATCTAAATGACATCATATGTTCAGTTTTCTGAGAATGGTTCTATTTAAGATAACCTTTAATATAGCTTGTTTAGGAATTTTCATGTTGTCCTCTATGGGCAATACAGATCGAAGGATATTGAACATGGCACCCAACTGCTGAATTCGTTGTCTCTCACGCGCATTCGCTTCTTCTCTGTGAAGAAAAATTGGCAATGAGCTAAGCTCTGGAAAATATAAATACCTCTTAATCGATGATAATGTCCGATTTCGAGTAGTAGGCCTATACCAATTATCAGATCGTGACATGACATCCCACATTGCTTGTGGACATTTACAGGAGTCGTCTGCTCCTTCAACAGAAATAACTAGCAGACCGATGACCAAAGAAAGGATATAGAAGTCTAACTTGACTATATGAATGGAAACGTCTGTAAATGAACTTGAAAATGTTTGTGCTAACTTTTCTATTATGTTTTTTATCCTTTGATGAATTTTGATTTGTCGGCTAAAAGAGAGACACGTGCGTATCATCTGGCTTCCTTTACTTGGAAATTCTTCTTTCATCCTATTCCTCTCATCAGTTTCTTATGAAATTTGAAAATCTTTCTCTTATTCTCTTTTACTTTTTCTTCTTTTTCAGCAAGCCGTCTTCTTTCACTGAGTAAAACGCATAGCAAAAAAAGGAAAAAATTGTATTCGATCGAGAAGAACTTTGATTCATTTGATGATTTCATGATGAGTGTCTGAACGATTGATATTTCTTTCAATCTGATTCACCGAAATTGAACGAATCTATTGAAATGAGCAGAAACAGAGCCGGTTCATGATCATACGGGCGAGCAGAACAGAGAAGGAACGAGAACTCGAGGTGAAAAAGGGCTGTTGACCTCTGACAGTTTCAGATATGAAATCAACATTTTCGAAATAGGAACGTCCATAAGAAGAAAAGAGAGCAAAGCTTTCTTCTCAAAAAACTTTAAAGAAAAATTCTTTTTCATCTATGCAAACATAATTCATTCGTTTTTCACAATCATCTTTCCAATGCAGAACTCATTAGAATTGTTTGTTTTGTTGTCTTTGAGAAAATTGAATGGACACAAGTTACATGTGTCCATTTGACCTTTCGGTAAATGTTGAAATAGAGAGAATGGTGCGAGAAAAAAAATTATTTTTTTTGACACAGTTGTAAGCTTATTGTGTGATATTGGGATTATGAAAGACAAACTTGGAAGTTGTCGGTAATCTGGCTTGTTGTCGACCATTTTCAATCTCATCTGCTCGTTTGCCATTTGTCTTGTGCTTATTTAAGGTTGAGCATTGACAACCTTGAATCTGTTCGTTATCCTCTCCATTCTGAATTGTCTTTCATATGCTCATATGTCTATGCTATCATATGTTTCTACAATCTCTGAATTAACGTAGTTCAGTTATTTCTTGTATTTACTCTGTTCATATAGGGTCAACCAGATTATTTTGTCCTCCCATCGTATTCTCCTCTCAGTTAACCACCCAGCCATAGACAAACTCACACTTAGACTCCCAGACACACAAACAGTTGTCTTTAATCATCCAAAACATACCAATAGTTTAAAAGTTGCCTCAAACGCTTGAGATGTTTGAAGCTGGAGTTGCAGGTTACAATTCAAAATCACAACAGTCTCGTTCCTCCGCGTTCACACATGATATATCAAAAATTAAAGTATCAAAACAAATTTAAAATTTTTAGAAATTTCTGAACGCAGGTTTGCATACCAATAACATTTACTCATGGTAAAGTCGTCCATCCGCAAACCTTTGATGAGGAAATCCGTATAGAGTCGTTCTGATTAGAAAAACTCATTTTGAGCTTTTCGCATATCTCATCTGTCACAAATGGTCAAATAAGAGAGTTTTCTCTTCCTTTAAACTCTTTCGATCTAACTTAAACAGTTCATAGCCAGTAGTTTCTCAGCGAGTTGTTGTATCGAAACAATCAGCCGAAAGAGAAAAGCTACTGATGATGATGAAGCATCGACGACGACGACAGGACGACGAAGATCTTTCCAAAAGAGAAACCGTCTGTATATTTCTCTGTATTCTCTTACGTCTATATATTCTTTCGTCTCACGTACCATCACAACACCCACCCCTTCAATATATCTGAGTCTCTCTTATTTACATACACAATCGTTTGTCTTACCTTTCCTGCTCTTCAGAGCTTCAAACCCCAAATGCACACATACACAGTCTTGAGTAGACAGAAACGGAGCCGCAATAGCTGTAAAAGGTTATATCCAGCCTATTGCTATTTAAATTTTTTATTTTTATTTTTATCAGAAGCTTTATACTCCCTCGGGGCATGGTGATGCGTCATACCTGACCCACACCTCGCCTTCTATTTCGTGTGATCGTGTAATGCTCCATTTGTCTAAGCTTATCCTATTCTCCGATGCTTTTTTAAAGCATAATTAGTCTTTTTCATTTTTTTTACTCTTCTGTGGTTTTTCTTCTTGTCCCTCTCTCGTAAGCTCTGCGATAATCTTCTCACCTGTCTTCAGTTTTATGGGAAACTCATCAGTTTCTTCGTTGAGACAACACATTGCTTGAGTCCATTTTTAGATCTCTGTGATTTCAAATAAACCTCTTTTGCTTGTTCATCAATCTAAGCTCTTAAGAAATCATGTTCAGCTTTTAACCTCTTTGTCATCTCTCCGTTTTCATCTTCTCTTGTAAGCTCTTCTTGATTATATCTTTCAATCAAACAACACGAAAAACATCATTTCATCTCGTTATCATTCATGTTCGTTCCGATCCCACGAACGGTTCGTTTTTTCATCTCTTTCAATAGCAATACTCACTTTCTCTAATCTCTCCGTCTTGCTCATTCATATTGTCGTTTCTTCCCCGAGGTTTCCCATTGCTCGTTGAACTGAACCTTTTGAATTGAAACAAAGAGTATCTTAGTGTCGTGCTCATCAATATCTTCTAGTTTCATGTGCTCATAGATGTTCATTTCTAACACTCAATTTCTTATTCCGTAAAATCTTTTTTTGTTCTTTTCTAAGGTCTTGACATGACCCATGACCATCAGTATTATCTAACTTCCGTTCTTTTCTGAATTTTATGAGAAAGAAGGAAGGCGTCATCACTTTTGTTCGATTGCATGTCCATTTCATCATTACCTGTATTTATTCATTTAAACTCAATGACAGAGAAAGAGAGAGAAATAGTTGTAGTAAGAGAGTAATAGAAAGAGTTGAGAATTTTTGAGAACTGCTTATGAACATGATTTTGATGACTGTTTGTTATTCGTGGCTCATGCTCTCTCTCTCTCCTGTTTTACAATTTCCATTTTACCGATATTGCGAGAAAAGAGAAGAAACAAGTCTTTCAGTTATTAAAAATGAAAAGGAACGAAACTGTTTGAGAATGGCGAAAAAAGGCTCTCTCCTTCACATTCAAGACAGTATGTCCGTCAAGATTCTTTATATCCTTTATTCATCATATTTCAAATGTTTCAATCTTTTTGTATTTTTTTCAATCTGTTTTCATCCCACTTACTTTTAACAAAATTGACGAACTTCGTTGAGAGAGTAAGTAAGGTTGAGAGAAGTGAGTGAGTAAGACAGGTATGTATCAACACGGTGAGCGTTGAGAAAACGGCTATTCGGCTGGTCAGTCTGTCACATCAGTTTCTTTGACTTACTTAGACAGTAACTCTCTCATATTCTCATTATCTCTCGAAGCTTCTTCGCTTGTCGTTATATTCTTTTACTCGATCTTAACCTCTACTTCATCTCTTCCGTTTCTTAGCAGAGATGGACGAGAACGGCCTTTGCTCTTTCTGTTTGTTCAAATATTCCTGACTGTCCAAGCCCGTCGCTTATTGACCCGCACCCATCTCGAAAAGCTAAGGTAGATGAGATGGACGGTGATGACGATGAAGTTTTTGGGTTATAAGATAGGGAGAGATGGGGGAAAAGGGAGATGGGAGGTCTTGACTAAGTACAGAACGTGATTAGAAGATATAATGTGAGAGATGAAGTCTAACAGGTATGAAGAGAGAAAGAGATAGAGAGACAAAATGATCTCTGTTAAAGACCATGATATCTCGCATTTGCGTTTTCATACTCTCTGTAGCTTCTCCTCCAATATCATTGACTATCTCTTTTTATCGTCAATGTTTTGCTCAAACCATATGAGGAGAAGGCAATTGAGACAAGTAGCAAAGAAAGATAGACATCATCTGAGAGATAATCATATAAAATTTACTCCACTTCTCCAACCTTATAAAGGGAGAATGATTGAGGCTATGAGATAGGAATATCATTTTGTTGAAATATATTTTTCAAGAAAGTATTCTGAATTATTCTGTGAATACATGATCCTCCATTATTGAGAGAACAATGTTGATGTTGTTCAAAATATTTTAATTTCTCTTAACTGTTGAGTAAATAGCTCGATTTGCATTATATTTACCAACGCATATTAGACTCCGGAATTGTGACATGACCGGTAAAGTCATACCTGTCATGATGATCTTAGACGTCAATCGAGAATTTCTTTGTGTAATTAGCCATTAACTGCTTAGCTTAAACGGAAAGAAATACTTTGCTTCCTTTTTCGAGCTTTTCAACCGTTTTACGCGACCACTTATCAGCTGAATGAAAGCAGAGTGCACGGAAAGGTTGCGTGCTCGGAATGAAACTTAGCAAGAAATTAGCATAAAAGTGTGTTTCAGTAATGAATTGGAAGCGAGAGAACCTAAAGAGGAGGATGAGAAAGTAGAGAATAGTATGAAATAAAGTTATAAGATAAAATGTATCGTAATAAGAATGTTTGATTCTGCCGTTTTCCGATAAAACCGACAAAACAGGAAGCGTTCGTGGCAAAGGTTAACGTTGCTTATATATGTATCTCAATTACATCATTTGAGTTGCTTTCATTACTTGAAAAGTATTTTGATGACCATAAAAGGTAACCAAATACTCAATGGTTATGTGATGCTTTCCAAATTTGGCGTTTAACTTCTAATATCTTCTTCCTCAATATGAAGTAATTGTTTTGCTGTTAATGCAATCCAAGCTTAAGCTTCAATGAAAAGCATCAGCCTTGATCAAAAGTTTATTTTACTTCTTATGAACTTCGTCTTATTTTGAATTTCGTATGGGAAATCTCAAAACTCAACTTGATTACGTAATCATTTATTTACTCACCTTAATGTTGATTATTATATGGATTATATTGTATTAGAGGAGAAGAGAAGATAGAGAAGTTGCGATTCAACGAAAACGGAAGAATGTTCTTGCTTGAGGCACTGAAAAGTTTGATGATAAGCTCGCTCGTATTCGATCAGCCCCAAGCGCTGTCATCAGTCCGTAGCTAATCCTGGTAATCAGCTTGGCAGTATCGGCAAAATGCTACTGCTGTCACGCGACAACATACGAGTTGAGCTAAGGAACTGTAGTGAGAGAAGAAGAGAGATAGAGAGAAGAAGAGAGAGAGAAAGACACAGAGATGATGGAAGGGAGGAAGGTGGGCAGGGATGATGCTATTGCTTTCTTTGTGTGTCGGTTTGTATAAGAATTCATATGTATGTGCATGATGTCGTCCAAAAGCAACTTTGTCGTTTCTTCTTCTTCGTTGTCATTGCCTTCAAGGCTTTTCGTTCGTTTTGTCCAAGTTGTTCCAAGTTTGTCCACAAAACATAATCTGCTTGTCATGACTTTCAGTTTCTATTTCGAGATCGAAAAATATCAAAATGTCCTGTTGCTTGTAAGCGAGAAGTTTTTGTATTCTCCTCGTTCATTTTCATCTGAAGTACTTTAGACAAACGTCATTAAAAGTTTGTGCAAATGTGGGAACTATCAATCAGAGCTTGTTAGCAGCTTATTCTATATGTTCCTTCTCCCACTCTTCATTTTTGGTTGTTCGAGTAAAGCAAAAAAACACAAAAAATCGCAAATTTCGAGCACATCCCGAAGCACAAGCCTTGTTTACACATGTTAGCCAAGGTCCGAAATGAAAAAAAAGACGTCAACCTTTTCTTTCTCTCTCTACTTTAAAGCATAATACACCTTAGTTTTCTCCCCCATTAGCTAAGACAATCAACATTTCTTCTTTTAGCTTATAGTACTTTGTGTATTTGACGAACCATCTAAGGTTATTTCTCCCTCGTTCCATCCATTTCTCGCCAGCCACAACCTATCTCTCTCTCTCTCTCTCTCACTCAGGTTTTTTTTCTTTTTTTTTGTCTTTTTCTGTAAGCCTACTTTCCTCTCATTTAGCACTTCGTAATTTGACCACCGACAACTACAGCTTGAATAGTTTTCCTGTTCACGATTCTTCTTTTAACATTTTCTTTTGAGCATACTTTTTTACTTTGATATTCTTCTTTGCAGTTTGGATGTCAAATCGGTGAAATTAAAGTGATCATCAGCCAAATCAGTTTATTTCAAAATTTACACCAGCTTCATTCAAAATGAAGACGAGGACGTGGAATATACTTCTCGTTCTACTATCTCTATTGCTTCCAACAACTCATTCACAAGAATTCCCTATTTTAAACTCGCTTGACCAGTCGAATTCGGTCACTTCAAATCATGCCCCAGTTCTGCAGGTATTTTAAGAGCTCAATTTCGCTGTTTCAATATAGTTTCATAGGTTTCATCAAGAGAAGGGTATTTGCCGGAAACAGCAGAGATCGGTACTACTGTGCGAATCTCACCAAATCTCAAGTCGGAAAGCTTACAAATCTTGGTGAACGATGATGATCTTCAACCGGGAATGCCCCCAGCTACTTATCAGTATATTCTAACTGGTTTGGGAGCAACCATTTTCGCTGTTGATCAGAGAGGATTTGTCTATTTAAATGTTCCAAATATTGATGCAGATCCTCCTAATCCATCAACTTACCAATTAAATGTAATTTAGTGATTTTTATCTGATAGAAACCAAAATTCTCGTTCTCAGGTTCAAGCTCGCGAAGTTGACACTGTGCCCATTCGAAGCTCAGAGCCAGTCTCAATTACAATCCACATTATGGATTCGAACGACAACTCTCCCCAATTTGAACAAGCTATTTATACAGCAAATACGACAGCAATTGGTGGGGAAAGACCCATAGTTATGGTAATGCTTACTAAGATTAACCGTTTGAAATGACTCTTCATAGATTGTGGCTACTGACGCAGACTCAGGTGCTTATGGGGAAATTTCTTATCGGATTACACAAGTCACAAACGGAGCTCAAGACGCTTTCTACTATGAATCTGCTACGAACATGCTTTTTGCCACTTCTAATCTTGTTCCTGGTGAACGATATCAAGTACAGCTTTCCCTCTATACTTAGATTAACGTTTGGAAATAGGTTGTTTTGGAAGCTACTGATGGGGGTGGACGATCTTCACAAGCCATTGCAATTATTTTGGCTGTCGATCCAAACCACAAAGCCAGTTTGGCTCCAAATCTACCTGGAATGGAAACATTTATGCCCCATCCTTCACAATCCACTATGACAACACCGATGGCCATCAACAGTCTAGGTCAGTTTTTCATTTTTCATTAAGTTCACCATCGACCCGGCCGTTTGTTTATATTTCTTGAGATTGATTTGGCTTGACCGGTTGCGCACAAACAATCGACAGGGAAATACAAAATAATAAACTTCGTTTTCAGAACAAGAAGAAACGATCCAAACCTATGTAGCAGAAGTATCTGAAAACACGCCTGCCAACACTGTTGTTGTGACTCTTGGTGAAGAAGGAATTCAGGATCAATACTTTACGATTGTTGGTGGTAACGAAGATGACAAGTTCGCGATTGATGGAAACACGTAAGATGCCTCATTAGTGATACTTTCTTATGTAAATGTAATAGAGGAACAATCCGAACGACTGGCGAATTGGATAGAGAAAGAACTGCTATGTATTCGCTCCAGGTGGAAACTCGCGGTCGCAGTCCAGACCAGCATCTTTATTGGACTCTAGTTCAAATTAGTGTTGTCGTAAGATTGTAACAACCTTTATAGATCTATATTGATATTCCTAGGATGTTAATGATAACTCTCCAATATTCATCGGTCAACAACCAATCCGATTCAGTAAGAGTATTGACGATTTGGATGAATTATCATCGAATATGCAAATCGGACGAGTTGAAGTTGAGGACTTGGACTCTGATGACAACGGCCGATTAGAGCTTCGTGTTGCTCCACCTATGAACAGGTTTATCATATGAATATGGGTTTATTGTTAATCTTATGTTCTAGGCTATTCTCGATATCCGCTGATGGAGTGGTGTCGATAGCTGGAGATTTCACAGCTGCTCACTTTGGAGAGCATCGTCTATTCGTCGTAGCTCGTGATCATGGGGAACCTTTCCGAGAGACAAAGGCTGAAGTTATCATCAACATCTACGGTACGCTGATAACAATGGCTACTGTCCCACCCACGGTTCGATTATTTGGATAACAATGACTGATATCACATTTAAGAATGAAATATTTGAGTACACTTCGTCAATCGAAGAAGAGACTCCTACACGTCCAGATGACTATTTACAGTCAGTTACAAGCTTACCGCCAAGTGTTACTCAAACAAGTAAATTTTTGTCTTTTGTGGAATTTTGGTTATTTTTAGAAATTTCAGCATTCTCTTCTTTCCCCGACCCATCTCCTGCTCCAGCTCCACCAACACTCCTACCTCAATTCCCGTCTGTTGAGCTGCCGAACAGTCAAGAGAAGGTACGTGTTTTCAACTCATATTTGCTGTTCTCAACCTCAACTCGCTTAACATTCAGTTATATCTTTTTTTGTTTATCAAGTTTTTCACCATCAAGAGAACCCATATGGTAACCTCTAGCTTCAACCATTTTTTCCCAGACTACCGACGATTATGATCAACCGACGTCTGAAGAAATGCAATCAACTTACACTGAAAATTCTGGTGCTACCAACAGTCCCCACTCCTACAACACCTTGCCATCCGCGCCATCAGTGCCTACCAATTCCTACTCGTCATTCTCCCAGGAAAACCTTTCCGTTGAACAACAGGTACAGAGCTCATCGGAGAATAATGTGGAAACAGTACCGGCTGAAACTACGATGACGTTGATGACGTCTTCTGGAGAATTTGAGCCATCTGTTACTGAATCTTCACTTGCATCCCAAACATCAAGCACGCCAACAACCTTATCAACCACAATTGCACCAAGAAATACGGAAATTTTGACAAGCCAAGAGGTTCACCTTTTATTTTTTTGAAATTGTATCGAAGGAGAAATTCAAAGGAGCCTAAAAGTTTAAAATTGTATCAAGCATGTTTTAATCCTTGAGCACGAACAGTCCACCCTGAAGATTTTGTATTCAAGCACGATATTCACAAACACAATTAGTTTTAAAATATGATAATATCTTGTTCAGACATCCTCATCCAACAATCGGTTAGCACCTGTGTTTAACCCTGCTCAGATTAGTGTTCATGTGGAAGAAAACAAGGCTGAAATAGAAGTTGCTAGAGTAATAACTTCCTTTATCTGGCTTTTTCAATATTTAATGAACCTTCAGGTACATGCAAGCTACTTGGATGGTCAACATGGGCCTATATCATATGTTCTTCAAAAAGGAGACCCATCTCTTTTTGCGTAAGTTTCAAACGTAGACTATCCCGACTCAACCGTTCTTTGCAGAGTCTCATCATTCTCTGGTTCAATCATTTTGTTGAAACCATTAGACGCTGAAACCGACACTTCCTACCAAATCCAAGTTTCTACCATTCAGGTATTGTTTGAATATACTTCGTGAAACAATTACTGTTTCAGGCTAATCAAATGATGACTGATCCATCAAGATCTCATTATGTTACTATCGTTGTCCATGTCGACGACACAAATGACTGGATACCAGCTTTTGAAACAGGGAACGAACACTTCACTGTTCCTGAAAACACAATTCCTGGTCAAATAGTAGGACAAGTGTCTGCTTTCGATCAAGACAGACAGGTAAATATAATAATTTGCTCAAATCGGAATATACTTTGATCTGCGCACTCATCAGCATGATTAACATACTGATGAATTCATCGTAACGTAAAAGCTGCTTGGTAATCATGCAAATCTGATCTAGATGCACAGAACTATTGCTCTCCATTGTTTCAATCAGCTGTGACAATGCTATTGATTCAAAAAGACTTGCGCAAATTAAAAAACATTAATAGTATGAAAACCTACAATTATATAATATGCTTTAGGATCCCAACAACAGAATTCATTACCGATTGATATCGGCAGGTGGATTGGAGTCACATTTCAATATCAACCCTGAAAATGGAATTATAACTTTAGCTCGTCCTATCGATGCTTTCTCTGGTGAAAAAATAACGGTACAATCCTAACTTCTGATCCCAGTAATTCATTCCTTTCAGCTTAAAATTGAAGCGTCTGATCACGGGATCCCTCCTCAATCTTCTCAAACATCTGTATTGGTGGAGGTTGTGGCAACAGCTTCCCAGGTCATACCTGAAGGCAGTCCTTTCTCGTCTCGGCCCAGTGAAGGATCACTTCAATTTAGTTTACGCAATTACACGTTCGTTATAGCCAATGAAACCTTTCAAATAATATTTGTTGTTCAGAGCTTCTGTTTCTGAGGCTGTTCGCCCACCACATCTCGTTCAAGTTCTTTCTGTTAACAACAAGCCCTCTGACACACGTTTCATTATTTGTAACATTGTTAGTGGTAATTATCGTGGAGCCTTCGGAGTTGTTGCCGGAAACGATGGAAATTGTGAATTACGCACCCAAATGGAATTGGATCGAGAGAGTGTTGAAAGGTAAGCTCAGAGAATAAACGGTCAAAAATGTTATTTTCAGATATTTATTAAATGTCACTGTAACGGCAGGTACTCAAACTGACTTTGCACTTGTTTCTGTTACTGTCCTTGATGTGAATGACAACGTTCCACGTTTCATTTATGACAATGATCTGGGTCTTTCAACATACTTCGCCGGAATCTCATCCACGTCTCCTGCTTTCACACGTGTGCTCACTGTGAAAGCTGAAGATGCAGATATTGGAAACAGTAGCATCGTCAATTATGCCCTTGATCAATTATCTGTACAATCCAAGTTTTTCAACATCAATGCTTTCGGAGAAATCACTCTGAAGCAGAGTATGCAGCAGATCCTTCAATACAACAGATTATCATCTTTCGAAATTCGAGTGAGTTGTTCGTAACCAAATGTTTTGATATGTATTAATTCAGGTATCTGCATGCGATTCCCCGATTTCTGGACAACAGCTATGCTCTAAAGCTGATGTTGTAGTCAGTGTGATTACCGACGCAAACCGATTCAAGATGATAACTACTGGTTTAACTCAACATCAACTTCAAGCCCATCAGAAGGTATTAGATGAATGAGTGTAACAATAGATAATCATGTTATTTCTTAGGATATGGTACGAAGTTTAAGACAATTCACTGGAGATTGTTCATTGGTGAACATTGAAAAAATGAACGATGGCGCCGTAATTGATACTCAACCCCGTACAGATATATATTGGTATGCTGTGAACCCGACAACTAAGAAGATCTGTAAAAAACAAGAATACAAGTGAGTTTACAAGGTTACGGGATGTTTATTCAAATGATTATTCAGGAAGTTGTTTGAAACACCGTCAGTGCAAATGATTGCCGGAAAGGTGCAACCTTGGTTCAAGTTGGAAAAGATATCAGATGATGTTGTTGAGTCTAACGGACTTACAGCCACAAATGGAATATTCCCAGCTAACTGGAAAACAGCTAGCATTTGTAAGCTTAAAGTTATCATACAGATTTGATAATTCTCTATTTCAGTACTTCTATCGTTAGCTGTTGTTATAGCAGTTGGTTCAATCATAGCAATCATAGCTGTTTGTTATTGTTATACCAAATATAAGGTTCATAATTCTCTAATGGCTCTCCATTTAATACTTATTTTGAAGGTTTCTGAGAGAAATGTTCATGCATATAATCCACAGAAAACAATGGGACCTTTCTTCTTAGCAAATGGCCCAATGGACCATCGCTATGACACTAATCATGAAGTTCAGGTAATTATACTTAATAAATTTTGATTTTTATATATTTTTCTTGTAAAGGTGAGAGAAATGACTATATCTGATGAAGATCTCACTTTGAAAAGTGGATCTGCTGGATGTACAACTCATCCACGTGGATATACATACAGGTAATGATGATGCACTATGATACTATTCTTAACAATAACTATTTAAGAGATTATAATAGACACCCTAGCTCAGGGTTTGAAGGAGATTTTAGTATCGAAGAGAATATGTACGCTATCAACACCCCAGGCCGTCTGGATCCTGTCACGAAGTAAGTTTAACTTCAATTCAATATTATAGATAAATAAAAAAAGAGAGAGTAAGAGATGATTTTATGAAATATTTTACAGTCGCATAGTAACTGCGGGAAATCTGCAACGTAGTAAGTTCTCACAAAAATTCAAAGTTGCACATTTTGTTTCCATCAATTAATACATATTTCCTCTATCTGCTTATTCCTCGGTTCAAATGATCAGTTATGCAATATGTTCATGTTAATATTAAAATACATACATATATGCATTATAACAGAGCAAACTTTCAGTTCTTTTAAGTTTTAACCTTATTATTATTATTGTTATATATTAATATAAATATATATTGTTTCAGACGGATACAAACCTTAGTGATTCCGGCACCAGATTATCCAGCTCAAAGGACTGCAATCAACTACCATAACAAGAGTATACTATGATAGATGATAGTATCATGAAACTGCTACGGGATACTTGACTGAAAGATGGTTATAGAGCCATATTATTTAAATATATAGTAGTCCTATAGTCCGAAATCCCTGAACTTTTTTAAAATTTCCCTCACGTATCTCATTCGTTGTTAATTCAAAATGTGCTTGATTCTATTCCAAAAGTTACTTTTTGAAAAAAAATCTTTTTCTTTCTCTATCATTTGCATGAAACGCCCGGCGTATTTCTTCTGTACCATCTCCTGCTATTCTTCCATACATATCCGATATGTCTTTTTCTTCCTTCAGCTCAAGTCTAGTTCTTTCAAAATGTGATTTAGATGTACCAATATAGGTTATGTTCATTCTCAATGTTCTTATAGTGCTAAGCAGGTGCTCAGAATTTTAATTATTCTTTTTTATTTCTACATATTCGTGTAATACAGAGCAAGTTATGTATATATCTACTATATCATTGTGATTATGTCTTTCTGTAATCTTTTTTTCTTTCAATATTTGATTGCTCAATATCTTATCTATATCTTACCAACTTCAGCTCATTTTTTTTTAAATTTCATCGTCCTTAGCCGGATGAATGTTAACCCCGTAAGTATCATATACTAATCTGATTTTTAATTATTATAAAATCGAGATAAAATAAAAAACATTTTACACATTTAAATTTTTGTTTACAACAAGTTTGGTTACGGTATTCACGATATGCAACAAATTACATTGCTCCGATGATGCTTACGACTCTGACCATCAGAGTTTTCCCTCCTCTTTGAGGAATATATCATTATAGCTTTATCAGGCCAAAGCAGTTCCATTCCTGTGAATGGAGCGCACAGCGGAATGCAACCGTTCTGTGCGTCTGCAATTGACCTTAATGATTCAGGAGAAGCCTCAAACTTACGTCAATTTCACGAGTATGCTAATGAAGTGGGCGTGCCAATTACTCGATCAGATCAAAAGGCTTCCGACGGAAACAAACTACTAATATGCAAATTAATAGACGCTTCACAAAATTAGACTGAAATCTCGCTTTTCAAACAACTTTCTTATGCCAACAAATTCTTTATATACCGGATCAAAGATCGAAGTCAAAAAACGCGTGAAGTTTGAAGTTTTGCAAACTTTAATAAAAACTAAGCAATCTTGGAAAACATATGAGAGCCTTTATTCATATTCGCTGTTTTCGAATGTAAAAAATTATTTCAGTGCTATGAACGTGCAATCTATGAATATGAACAGTTTAGTTTTGCATTCAAAACAAATACGTAGATATTGTATATCAGGTATATCATTCAGAGGAGATCTGACTTTCCCATGATCAACCATCTTGCATGAGACGTGCTGTCGTGTAAACGTTCTGTATTAATCCTTTCGCTCTTTCCACTAGGTTCTCCACATCATCACGATTTCTAACTTGCATTACCTATAAGAACAGCCATATGAGATATGAATTAAAATAGAAATCATTACTTTTCCTACCAAAGTTACCATAGCAAAAGGTAAAAACCTCTCATATGCTTTACGAATTAAATCCACCGTTAGCGGATGCTCTCCAGTGTGAAACTCAGTGAAATAATGATGATAGCTATCCAGTAGAGAACTTGTACACTCTATTCTATCCTTTAAATAGTTCAAATTATGTATTGTTTTTCATTTTTAAGTTCACTTTTAAAGATAAATTCCAACATATGGCTTTTGCTATATCTTCAGCAAAACATCCTGAATGACATTCTAAAATAACTGAAATGTGAATATCCAGAAGAACAAGCTCAAACCTGTCCAGTCTATGATTCCTGAAACTTTCTCTTCACTCCCTTCCAAATAGGAAAAAACATTATTGGCATAAGGCTCGCCTTGAACTAATGCTCGGGGAACTTGTAGTTCTTCGGCAGATTCTGTTGCTGTACTATGAAGATATTCCATTGTGAAAAATTTTGAAATATGCTTAATTATACAAAAAATAGCTATGAATGTATAAAGAAATAGCCAACCACAAATCTTGAATGATCAACATCATGACGTTCAAAGAAATCCATTGTCTTATCATAGTTGCCAATGATGTATGTATAGTATGAAGGAGCTAGATCAGCAATCTGCAAAATAAATAACGTGAGAAACCATACATCATGGAAGGTTAGAAAAGCAAAATTAAAATGTAAAATCTCAAAGCTCACCATAGTGTTCCAGGAAGTCTGCTTCATGGATAAGGCATGAAGTTGAGCCAGATGTTTCAATAGATCTCGCACGAGTTCAACCTTGAATTATTACGTCATTAAAATGCAAAAGAACGATGTGAAATTGAACAAAAAATAAGTAAACGGAAATGAAGTATAAATAGGAAATTTAAATTTACATACTGAGCAACCTTTAAAAGCATCTTGTTGCTGACCACGTTCACCCATATCCTCCATTACTACGCAACCACTTCCTCCAGTTTCTTTGCTGTGACGTTTGATATGAAATATTTTTGGAGCAGCTATTTTGGGATATTTTTGTGTCCATTCATAGACATTGCATTCTCTGAAACAATTCGAACTTTCCATTCATTTTTCCGACTCATTTAGATTTACCGTTTAAACATTATATAATGGAATTTGCCTTCGTCATCTTCTCGTTTTTCTTTGGATACAGGAAGTTTCAAGCATACACTCTTGGGTAGTTCTTCATCTTCCCAACCAAATGTTACACGAATAACGGATGAAGAAGCATAATCTGTAAAAAAGAAGTAAAATTTTGTTTCTGTCGTTTTCTCCGTAATATCCGACCTTCGTCCCAGCTTGGTCTATTTAAACGTTCCGTTATCCACTGAGGTTCCTCCTCTATTTCTCTACCTAGTTTGTCGGAGATGCGTTGTAGAAGCCATTGAAGAGCAACATCAGTTCCGCACAAGTATTCACTGTTTTCTTGAGTTTCACCTTCCATAGAACGATCACTAAACAACATATATGATTATCTTTTTAAGATAAATTTGGGGAAGGCCAGGCTACACTAGCCGGAAGAGAGCAATTCCTAGAATATTCTTTCACACAACGATTTCGCGTCATTCTTACCTGTGAATGAAAAAAGACCTTCCCTGCACTGCCTTCCATACTTCTCTCTCTCTCTCTATCTCTCTGGCTCTTTTTTACCTTTGTTAGTCGCCAAAAGACTTTGTCTTTAGTGCTTACAGCTTGTTCGTTGAACTTTCCAAGCAAATCTACGAGTTTTTTTTTCTCGAAATGTTTCAGCTTTTTTTGGAATAGAAAAGAAACGTAAAATCAAATGACAAGCATATAGAAAAGGAACAATAATGACTCTGTTATGTTGAAACTTTTTTTTAAACCAAAAAAATTGAATAGAAGGCTTTAGGAAGTAAATCTTTCACAACTATGTAAATGAAAATAAGAGATTCAAAATCAAACCTCATGCCATCTGAGCTCATATCATCGGTGTAATCTTTCGGAATTTGAAGAGAAACTATAGAAGCCCTATATGCTGATCTGCCAGATTTAGTTTGCATCTCGGTCGGTGAATCGTTAGTTCCTGAGGTATCAGCCGTTCCTGCTTGGTCATTGGAGGCAACAGAAGGACTCGACGGTCCACAGCCCATTGCACAACTTTGCCTTTGAACACTTGCGTAGTTGAAAAGATTTTCTGAAAATATAATAAAACATGTGGAAATTAAGATAAATTTAAGATTAAAATATAAAAATTTGAGAAAGCGAAGGAGGGGGATCAATGAGTCTTGAGAATGAGAAAAGCGATAAGTCATAAGTTGAACGTGTTATATTCTATAAATGAATGGAGAGAGAATTAGGTAAGGAGGTAACAGCTCGAGAGGGAGTGAGAAATGAAGAGAAAAGTAGGAGGGAAAGTTGAAAGCTACAAACCAAGACATATACTGTCGTTGAAACATTACTTCCACTAGCAAAGTTAGCTTTAGAACATGCTTAGTGAAGCTGACAACATTCGATGTTTAAGGTATATACACATAAAGTAAATAAATGGCAATCTTAATTATATGAATAGTTAAAAGTTATTTCATGTAAATATTTACACGTACAGGAAAAGGCTGAAATTGAAAAAACACATTTTAAGCTATTGTTCTCTTCATTTGGTTGTCCGAACAAGAGGAGGACAAAATTCGGTCATTAGGCTTGAACTACAGAAAACGTTTCTTGTGTGTGAGGTGCTTAAAATCTATTTAATCATCACTGAAGGAGTACAAGAACGTGTATGGCATGCTGACGTACCCAAAAAAGAACTAAAAAGTGAGAAATGGGAGGTAAGAGAACAAGAACGAAAGGAAGTATCCTTCGATTCCGTTTTGCAGACTTCCTACTAACAAAATGTCTTCAATTACACTATTCCGTCACCCATAGCATAATTGCAATTATATATTAAATAATCATTAACTATTAAAATAGTAAACAAATTAGTAAACTTTTTTTTTCTTATTTGAAAGTAACATGAAACATACTTCTAATACTCACCAATTGGTGGTTAGCAGCAGGCGGTCCATCCTGGATGCATAATTCCGCTCAAACACTCCAAGTGTATACGATTAGACGACGTCAAATTTCTATAAGAAAATTATTACTAAATTTTATAATAAAAAAAAGAAACATGAAGATATACAACCGATCCTCACAAGCTTTGCTGAAGAAATGAAGTGCGTCCGCAAAGTTCACGCACTCACGTATCTCATTGGAAAATATTTTTAGAAGACATGTAATCATATAGGATCGTAGAGACAAGTGAGAGCTTTCATCTTAAAGTTAACGTTACAGTTGGAGGTGTTAAATGATTCTGTCAACTGAGAAACAATGAAGAATTGATAGATATCATTCAATCTTAGTTTCCATTGTTTAGAGCATATATGTAAACTATAATTTATACAAATTATCTACGAAATGATTGTCCGTCCATATTACACTCATCTTCTGAATCTTTTTTTTTCACACAATTTGCTCAAATCATTACAATATTCGAACCTTTAAAGACTCCAACGACAGCTGTCGTTATCGTTACAGACGTCGTCATTTCTGCTGACGGTCTTGTCTGTTCAATGACCACCTCACTAACTCCAATTCTGCCTTTCCTTTATCTTCTTTCTGTCCAACTCCATTCGTCACATGTTCAATTTTTCAAAAAAAATCCAATTAACTTCCTCAAATGTGCTTCTGAATCGTATTTTTCCTATGTTTTTTGAATTCATAAAGAATTTACCAATAAAATATTAGAAGATATGAAATGAGCCGCTATTTTGAAAGATGTTAAGTAGAAAAAAATTAACAAAATTTTTATCTGTTCTCGACTTATCTCTCTTCAAAGTGATTTGTCAGCCAAAAAATGTGTACTCTGAGATATCCGATCAACAAACGAAATGATCAATAAGAGTAAATCTTCTTCATTTCCTTCTATGGACTGTCTTTCTCTTTTTTTGGCGCCAAATTCAAATATTGTTTGTCCAGCAATCTTTTTTTAATTTGAAGGACGAATCATCCAAATTATGATAGGAGGTACGTGTTAGATCTAGAGATGGATTATCCGCGTGCGTTCAAGTGTAATTTGTTATAAAAATGATTTTGTTTATATTATTTATGACATACTATTGATATCTATATTAATTTGTTTCTTGCGGATATGTCTTTGTAGTGAGATGAGATTGGACTTAGAGAAAGCAAGGTTGTTAGAGTTTTTTTGGGAATACCCTACTACTAGTACCTATATGACTATTGAAACCACTTATGACATTCATACCATTGTATCTGCCTTTACTCAGATAGCCTGAACACCCATATCCCCTTTGGATTTGAAAGATTTCTATCGAAGAAATAGTTTTATGAGCGGTCTTTGTATCTTCTGAATCGATTAGATGATCATTATCCAGTGTGAGTACAAGCATGAAATCTTTGTGAATATGTATATTTATGTCTCTCGTTGTGGATGAGCGGATTTACAACATAACTCGAACATGCATACATTTAGAAAAAAAATCTTTTTTTTTTATTTTGTCTAACACAACGACCCTGACCCATACATGGATAGTATTGCTCCATAGCTGGAACAGATGAGATATTCATTTGAGGAAATACCAACCACCAGCTATTTGAAAATATTCTTATCATTTATCTTTATCTGAATATCAATCAACTAACGGATTATCCCTTCTTCTTGAATCAACAGTGAACGAGTTTTTATTATTTTGAACGCTCATAAATTTATTTTCAATTTTGAAAAGCTGATGCAAAAACAGTTCGACTCACCCAATGTCTCTATCTCTCATCTGAAATTCTCGGTGCTTACTCTGGAAGACAGACAATCTTACATAATTTATAATGTATTTGTCTCAGAAGCTATCGATACGTTTTGTTGTTTTCTTTATCTTTTTGCTTTATCTGCCATGTTAGTTTGAGAGAGAGAGAAAAAAAGTTGGAAAAAATAGATGAAAATGTCATCTTTCTCTCCATTTTCAGAATTCACTTCCTCTCTTTCTCTCTTGCTTAACATTTCATGCTTCTGATATATTTGAGAGTTGTTTAGCTATGAAAAATAAGTTTATTCCGAAACTAAGGAGATTTCTTTGTTTTTTTGTTTCAACTGAAGGAGGAGGGGGATGCAAAAAAAAAATAAAGAAAAAGATATGTAGGGATTGTTCGTCAGACATCCTAGCGGCTCCCTTTCTGAGTTCTTTGTTTATTCTCAGTCGTTTGTACTTGTAAGTTATATGTTAATCCCCTCCCTCTTTTATATTTAATAATATGCTTTCACTGCCCGCTCTTTCCATTTGCAATTTCGAAAGGTGTTACTGTTTGAAGTTTAAGAGAGAAAAACTTCTTCGATATCTATTTTCATAATGAATAAATGAAAAATGGTAATGTGATGTGATGTGGATGAGATGAGACCATCTGGACAGTTTCATCTGTCATAGAGATAGTTCAGAAGCCTTTAGTCATCTTCCTTTCTCCTCTTACAAGCATTTTCATATTACAGCTGGTGCTCTCTCTCCTCAGTTTCCGAGTTGAAAATAGAAAAAAATGAGGAACAGGAGGAAAAAAAAAAGTTTGGCGCCTTCTTTAAAAGTAATGATGTTAATGATGAATGACGTCTCGTTCGTCATCAAATTCTTTCTCCCATTATCACATTCTTCCAATTGTCCTTGTCCATTTTGTCAAAAGTATCCTTTTATACTGAACCCTTTTATGTTTTTTATACTATTTTCTGTTCGATCAGTTTTCCATTTCAAGGTTTCGTAACAGCTTGTCGTTCTGAGATTCGCACCTGTTCGACTCGGATAAAATCAATTCATGTCCATTTTTGGAGATGTACAATAACTTCTCCATTTCTGCACTCTCGAAGTAGATTCATCAACCTGTTAATCTGCTTTTGTATTCTCAGTCAGCTAGTTTTGTATTCAATTGGCTCCTTAAATGAAAGCTATTTGAGAGCTGAGCGATTATCTGATTTTTTCGGTGACCTAAGTAGCTGAAATTAATGCGAATCCCCTCTGCAGATTAGGCTAAATAACAAGCCGGTCTATATAAGGATAGGAGCTAGATGGTGCTAAAAGAAAATGTACGTGTTTGTTGACTATACGACCTCAGTAATGCGATTAAATTGTCTGCTCGGAATCTTTTAACCACTCTTTTCCTCTCTATCTCTTTATAACTTATTTTTCATTAAAATAATAACAAGAGAATAATATAGAGGGTGTGAGAAACAAAAAAATGGCAGATGGCTTAGAGATACAACCATACTTCGCGCATGTTCCAGTGAGAAAAAAAAAGCTCAAGCCAGTAGATGATACTTGCGCGTGCTTCCATCTGTATATTTTATATATTCTGCCATTCGAGAGTAGTTTATCTTGTTTAATGTCACAGTTTGATTTCTCACCTCGCTTTTCCGAATTTGTCGCTCAATCTTCAAGATAAACGATGTGTTCACGTAATTTTGAATATTTAATTATATGGTCGGTAGTTGAATGTTTGGATGTCCTTCATCCAACCTCAATACGCTTGAAATGTCCTTGGAGTTAGAAAAAAGGAAGTGAATAGGCTTGGATTGAGTACTAGGAGAGAACGTTTTGATTAAGAAACGGTGAACACTTGCTTTGTTTTGTTTTTATTTGACCTCAGCTAATCGAGTAGCAAGCTGATGAAGTTACGAACAAAAGGAAAAGCTTGAAGATAGTCTTTGAGTATTCCTAATTGGCCATCTCCTTGATTAAGCTGCTTGTTAGCTCTCTTCTTATTCATATTCATTTGATGAAAGGCACCGTTACTATTTATGAGATTTGATTCTCTTATACTACAACTCCTCGATGTTCCTCATTCGCTTGTCTATCTTTTTTTGATTGAAAATATAATTTTATTTTGTCTTTAAAACAAATCCAATTATGGTTGCATCAGCCTTTCGTCCACCAGTCCGTGATTTTGCGCTAACCAAAAAAATAATAAGAAAAATAACTTACAAAATAGGAGTCAAAGCTTCTTCCATTCCAAATCAGCTTAAAATCGTTTCGTTGTCTTAGTTTTTTGTGGCTCGAGACTTCCAGCAAATTCATATTTTGCATCTTAACATTTCCTTCTTATGCTCTTCTTCGAAAAG